CTGTGGATTATGCAAACATGCGACGTAAACGCTTCATGAAAAGACGAAGAAGATAAAAGCTTCATGCTGTGCAATCGTATGGGGCAAATTGTCGATTTCTAGCAAACTTTGGCAAATATGTTCTCGATGTTGTCGTGAATCGTGTTCAAGCCTAAAATGATCATAGTTTACAACTCCTATGGATGCTGACCTAAGCATAATTCTATCCGCAGTTGTGTGTGAAAGAGAGAGATAAATGCTAACTGCCTTCGAGTAGAATTGATGAGCACAATTGTCTCGTTTACAACCCGACAGTGCTTGAACTACATTTCACGTTTAATGGACAAATTGGTACAATGCATAAAAATGGTCAGCGTAATGTAGGTTTGCATAGAAATTTACTTGTAATATAGCTTGCTTTAGATCGACCAATAATTCTGTCTTGCGTATGTTCTTCAGTCGAGGATCGTCGATGCCGATGGCATCCAAATCAAAACGGCCCAAACCAGTTGAGTTACATTCCCGCAAAGATCGCTGGCGTTTCGAAAGCATTGCCATTTGACCAGTCGGATGACTCCAGGCTCCGTAAGATCGCTGAGTCTGACCGGTTTGCGATTCCGTGGCACCGTCTTCATTGGAGTGACTGGGAGACGTGGTGTAGTCAAGCGAAATCGACTGGAAGAGAGGATGAGGGAAGTCAGCCGAACTGAGGCCATCTGATTCGAAGCTCCTGCTCATCAGTTGCCGTGCTTTAGGCCGCCAACTGCGATTTAGTTGGCCTGCCCTCGATTGGGCCGATGCATGCTCCGAGCAGGAATCGGACAACTCTTCTTCTTGCTCGTTGAAGCAGAAGTGATTCCAAACTCCATTGGCTGGTCCACCGGTCCAGCTGACATCGGAGGCTGACTTGTTGGTCAACATGGCGCGCAGAAGACCCCCAAACAATGAATGGGACTGCTTCAACTGACGCTTGGAGAGGAACTGAAAGAATTTTAGTTTAAAGTAAATAGCTTTAGATGCAATGGCAGTGAACGAAAAGGTAAATTGTACATATTTTTAAAGGAAGATGGAAATGTAGGTGGATAAAAGAAGAGTGGATTAAAAATTGAAAAGAGGGAGTTCGAGGCTGGAAATAAAGTGACAATGTGTTATTGGAAGAGGGAAACAATATGGAAATGGAAGTGGCGGTGAGGATGTAGGTCGAAGTGATAAACTCACTATTTTAGTTAATGTACAGTTTAAAAGAGATGCTATAATTTGGTTTTGAAAATATAAAAACCCAGGCAGGAGCAAATAATTATAATGTAGGCTGGTAAAGTTATGCAAATTGAATAATGTAGACTAAAAGATAAGTGGTTTTAAGAAGTGCGAAAATATGCGAAAAATGTGCGAAAATAACATTTCGGGCCAATCGTAATATAATCATTTTGATAGTTAAAAAAAAAATAGAAAAGTGTTATTTTCATTATTATTTATTAAAATTAATCAAGGCTATTCTATTGATTATGGGATAAGCAATTACGTTACAGGTGGCGGAATATAAGTAAAATATAAAGTGTGGATTAACGAAAGATTTACACGCTTGACGAAACCTCTTTCGACTTTTCCATTCATATTAGAAGATACCAAGTACCATGCTTGCAGTAGATGTATTCAGGTGATGCGTTCATCAAATGAGTAGGACCTTAATGCCTCTGCAAAATAATCTGGCAGAAAGCAGGAGTCGCATTATAAATTTGAAGAAAAAAAAATAGTAACTCATAAAAATATATTCCTGAACTAATATTGAACTGAGCCAAATCAGTCTTAGCATACTTCGAAAACGAGTACATTAAAATCGCTTTGGGAACTTTTGTGTCGCCCTTTTCAAAGTAGGTATTTATGAGGTCAACCCTTCCCGCAATAGTCATGGGGATAGTCTAGAATAGATCTTTATGAGGTTAGTATCCACGAAAACCACTGCAGACCACCGTTGATGAGATCATAATATCGGGATAAATTTAGTTGCGAAAAAGACATGGAAATGTACTTGATTATTAGTTGAAATTTGAAATAAGAATCAAGGAAAACCTCGACCATAGCCAGGCTCCGTCTCAACAATTCGATAGACTTTATGAGTTTATACTGCACTGATCCATTCCAGATCAGGCCACGATCAGACCACGACTAAGGGTCGAGCCAATTTTGTGCCTGAATAGCACATGCCATTAACCTTGGCGACTTGGGCGAAGTAATTGAAGATAAATTGTAAGTACTGTCAGAAAAAATGATGAAAAACAAAGAAGCAACAGTTCACACTAAATGTATGATGAGGAGGCACAAAAGCACAATAAGAGTAAGGATGGCTAGTACAGATCTTGGGAGTTGCACATGCCTGTTTGGGAAGATAGCACGTGGGGTCAGGCTTCAAAACGCAGCCCTCCTCAGCCATCAATTGAGCCAAGTGATGACGGCGCAACCCAACGATTTTGGAGGCATCAATGTTTTCATAGTCCAGAGAAA